CGAAGAAAATAAGAAAAATCAAAAAAAATCAGAAAAATTTTAAAAATCGGAAAAATCCAAAGAAGCAAAAAAACAGTCAGATTTCAACTGTTTCACTCTCGATTGATATTTTCAAGCTCAAAGATTAAAGTTTTTACCATTTTCATTGATTTGTCTGATGTTTTTGATTTTCATTTTTGATTTAAATCAAAAAGTCAGTTTTTCCTCCCTTGCCTACATATCATAAAAATATTATAAAATTGACTGAGATAAAGATCACAAAAATGCTTCCTTTTAATGTAAAGAAAACAATCGATATCTTTTGTCAAGACTATTATAGTTTCTAACAGTCTCAGAGCTATATAATCAAAATGTATACATATTTAAAGCACAGCAAAATAATCGGTTTAGTAACAGATAGTCGATGCATTGGTAAAAGTTTTCTTCGTTTCTGATGCTACTTGAAAATAAACACCACCGTTTCTAGTACTGTCAAACATAATAGAATCACTTTCTAGCTGCAACTTTCTTTAAATTTTCTTTTGTCTTAATATCACTCTTTTTTGAAATAAAATTCATCACAAATATATAGATTAGCATGTGCTCTTTCACTGTTTATTGCAATAACTACTGATGAAACACATGTAAATCTATACATTTATGTTGAATTTTATTTTTTTAAAAGTGATATTAAGATGGAAAAAATTTAAAGAAAATATTGCCCTTAGTGCTTTATATTATGTTATGAACGCCGCTGATAATATTTAAACAACACGCTAGGCACTTATTTGAAGGAAATACGGTTCTTTCCATAATAATCTTTAATTTTTTGAAAAATATAGGAATATAGGAAAAAAGCTCAAAATATAGTCTATTATAGGACTAACTTGAAAAATATAGGAAATATAGGACGACTGCGATGCCAGGTTATTACATATTTAATTGCTCATACAGTTCATGAAGTGACAGATTGTAATAAAACACAGTATATATGACTTATTCAAAGAAATTTGTTGGTAATTATTCAGTAAAATACGAAATAATTTTTGTAAGAAAACAGTTAAAATATTTAATGGAATCGTCAATGTTTATGAGACGAATTCTTCTCATTGATTTGTCTATTTTAATCAACAAAATTTTCTTGTTTAAGTCTATAAGGAAATTTATTAAATTGATGGAAGAATCATGTTGAACTAGTCTAAAAATTAGTTGTTCGTTTATGGATAAAAATCGTCTGTTTGTTTTAAAGAATATTTTCGTACTTTCAAGTTTACGAGAACAATTAATTTTATTTAAAATATTTTTTAATTCGATTGTCAAAATAAACTATAGAAGATTAGAGTTTTCTCTATGATGATAATGATATTTCAATTTGTCAGAATATTTTTTCTTAGTTCTGTTCAATAAACTTGGTTAAGAATCGCTCGAACCTTCTTTTTGCGAGTGTTTTTCTGTGGGAAATTAGTTTATTCAATGACGATCAGTTTTTTTTAGTGAAATAAACATGGCAACTATTCAATCAATTCCTGCTCGACCACCACCACCACAACAACAACAACAACAACAACATCCATCAATGATACAGATCTGCGCTTTCAATTGTTATAATCACTTTGGGTATGAATTATCATAGAAATTATCATAGAAAACGAACTTATTGATCAGGATAAAACATTTTCTATAGTTATTATGTTTCAATGAGAATAGTTTTATTCTTCCATTTTTTATTCAATTGATTTATTTCATGAAACGTTTCGAAGGATACTTCCTTCTTCATCAGGTTTTTACGAACAAAACAAGATAAAATTAATTTACAAATGAAGAACATATATATATATGTAGAAAAATTGAACTCTTTTTCCTTTGAATTTTTGAATAGTAGATTGGACGACAACAAGACGGTAACACTGGAACAAAAAGAAACTATATTACCTGGTTTCTTCTTCGTTCGTTCCATTATTGAAAAGAAAAAAGAAAAGAAAAAGAGATAGTTCAATTTTTTTACATATATATATGTTCTTCATTTGTAAATCAGTTTTATCAGGTTTTGTTTGTAAAAATTTGATGAAGAAGGAAATATCCTTCGAAACGTTTCATGAAATAAATAAATTAAATAAAAAAGGGAAGAGTAAAACTATTCTCATAGAATTATCATGTCCTTCCGAACTATCACTGAGTTATTGTATTTGTTTCTGTTAAAGTTTGTGTAATATAGATAATTTGTCAATGATTGGAAAGATTATCTTTGTATAAATAATATCTGATTGAGTTTATGATATCTATTTAAATATAATAAAAACATGTGTAGATATGTATCTCTGATTGAAGTCAATGTTCTGCTTTCTTTTCTCACTAGCATTTTTCATTATTTATTTTATATTGATAAATTGACAATTTTTTCATTGATTCTTGTTCGTTTTCTTACATGAATTTAGTTTATCAGAAAACAAAACAGATTGTTATGTTTAACCAATTGATATAGTTGATTATTTTCGAATAATGAATCAATTATGTTGATTTATATGTGATCTTGAAAAATGTATTCGTGTCAATATGACAAACTAATTAACGATTTCAGATTATTCTGATCGATAAGACTTTAATTATATTGATGTATACTGTTCTGCATAAAAAAAAACATTCTGATCATAAGAGAATATTGTTTTTGACAAATTTTTTATTTTTATTTTCTTAATAGAAGCGAAAATCCGTTCAAGATTGACAGTGCTATTTGTTTCGCTATAAGTGAGATTATACTTATGAAAAAAGTTCATTAAAATAAAGTTAAGATTGTTTTCGATAATGGATTATAAATATGATTTAATATGTCGATCACGAATGGATTATTAAATTATCTAAGCGCACATATAGAAGATTCTTCTTATAAGGGAAGGTCTCCAAGTAATGAGCCGAGATT